TTGGCCAGTGCAATTGAGCCTTGGTTGTCTTCAAAAATCTTGACCGGATCCTCGTCTCATCTCGCCAAGCTCGCATAGGAACGTCTTGAGCCAAATCGCTTCTTGTGTTGCCTCTGTTAACGCCATGTACTCCACTTCTGTTGATGACAGCGCTACCGTGCGTTGTTTTATGCTTTTCCAGCTTGAGCATTCACTGTTCATCATAAACGCGTAGCCACTTGTACTGCGTCGAGTCTCCATATCACCAGCCCACTCCGCATTCGAATAGCCTTGAAGCCCTTTTTTACTTGTTGCCTGAAATTTGATACCGAAAGTCTTGGTGCCTTGAATGTAACGAAACACACGCTTGAGTGCTTGCCAATGTGTAGGACACGGATCTGTCGCAAATTGGCCAAGAACTCCCACAGCAGCGACGAGGTCCGGCCTTATCCCAACCATCAAGTACATGAGGCACCCAACAGCATTGCGATATGGTACATTGATCATCGTCTCTTCGTGCTTGCAGCCGCCTTCACACATAGCCTTGGTCAATTTGAGTCCTGTATCTTGGGGAGTCTTGACCGAATTGCTGTTTTCCATGCTGAACTCCTTCAAAATATCATCTGCAAACTTGGTCTGACGCATCGAAATACTTCCAGTAGGCTCGTCTTGTTCAATCTCGATGCCAAAAAAATACTTGAGTCGGCCCAAATCCGTCATATCAAAACGCTCGCTGAGAGCGTTCTTTGTTGACTTGAGTAACTCATTATTGTTGCTTGCAATCATCAAGTCATCAGCGTAAAGAGCCACGAAGATCATGTCATTGTCATTTCTTTTGACGTAGATGCAGTGGTCGGCCTCATACTTCTTGAGCCCCAGCTCGAGCATAAACTTATCGATTGTCTGGTTCCACATTCGAGGTGATTGCTTCAAACCATACAACGAGCGCTTGAGATGAAAAACATGATCTGGGTGCTTTTTATTCTTGTAACCATCCGGCTGCACCATGTAAATGTCTTCGTCAAGTGATCCATTT